CTTTGCAGGGGGCTCTAGCCTTTCTGGGCCCTTTGGGAAGAAGCCATTGCCCTGCTTTACTAGGGAAACTGAGGCAGGAGTGTGAGGTGGCTCATTCAAATCAGCCTCACCAAGGTACACCCAGACCTCCCCCCATGTCTACCCCCAGGCAGGGCCCAGGTACCTAGTCCCCAGGCAACCTCCAATGAGATATGGGTCAGCTCAGGTCACCACCTGGGCTGTGAGGCCAACTGACCTGGCTGTCACCTCATCATGCTGCTGAGTCCTGGCCCCCTATTGGGGACAACTGTGCCACCTCCCTCATCAGGCTGCTCCGGGGATTAAAGGCGCTCTTGGGTGAAATGCTTGTTCCAGGGTCCCGCCCAGAGTAAGTGCTCAGCAAAAGGCAGGCATCCTGACTGTTAGGGAGGCCTCTGTGCAGGGAGGGGAGATGGGCTCTGGAGTCAGATCTGCTGGGATGTGAGCCACTAAACACTTGTCCTGGGGTAAGCCATGCCTTCTCTCTGAGCCTGTTTCCTCCTGTAGCAAGGGGAGAGCAGTACTTTAAAGGGTTGCTGTGAGCATTAGAAGGTTGGCTGTCATCATGCTTGCTCATGGAGGACGCTCCATCAAAGTCGAGTCCCCTCGTAAAGTACTGGGGGACTTTATGGAATGATAGGGGTGACTCAGTTACATCCTCGCCCTCTCATGTGCCAGAAACTGCCATTAGCCTCCAGCCCTTCAGGCTGCCTGCTGGGCTTCTCAGTGGGTTTATGGGGATGTCCAGGCCCTTGCCATTATAGGTGTGAGCCACTGCACCCGGCCCACTTCCTCCTTCTCATGCTGGAATGAATGTTCCCGTCACCTTTCAGACACACTTGGCCAGTGCACCAGCTGCCCTGCTCCTGAGAGGACACAGCCACGTGAGAGCGGCTGGAATATGGCTCTGGAGATGCCACAGTGGAGGTCACAGGGCTAGTGGATGACACAGACTTTCAGTGACTGAATGAGTGAAGAGGCGAGACTGAGGCATGGAGCTGAGGCTGCGGCTGTTCCCTGCCTTGAGGGTGTCTGACTCAGTGATCGTTCATTTCCAATTAGTCAGTCAGTCAACAAACATCCCACGGAGACAGATAGCACGTGCTGATTTTGACTAAAGTGATGGAAGTGATGCCGCAGCACCTCCAAGCCTAACTCATAAGCAGCTTGTAGGTTCCACTTGGGGCTCTTGAGACTCCCTTTATTGTTTTTATTTTTTTTAGAGACGGGTCTCACTTTGTCACCCAGGCTAGAGTGCAGTGGCAGCGATCACAGTTCACTGCAACCTCCAACTCTTGCGCTCAAGCAATCATCTGCCTCAGCCTCCCGAGTAACTGGGACTCCAGGCACGTGCACCACCATGCCTGGCTTTTTTTTTTTTTTTTTCCTCTATAGGGGGTTTTTGCTGTGTTGCCCAGGCTAGTCTCAAACTAACTCTTGGCTGCAAGTGATGATCCTCCTGCCTTGACTTCCTGAAGTGCAATCGTGAGCCACTGCACCTGGCCAGGGCTCCCTTTCTTTTTCTTTTTTTTGAGACGGAGTTTTGCTCGTTACCCAGGCTGGAGTGCACTGGCGCGATTTCGGCTCACCGCAACCTCCGCCTCCTGGGTTCAGACAATTCTCCTGCCTCAACCTCCTGAGTAGCTGGGATTACAGGCATGCACCACCATGCCCAGCTAATTTTTTGTATTTTTAGTAGAGATGGGGTTTCACCATGTTGACCAGGATGGTCTCGATCTTGTGACCTCGTGATCAACCTGCCTTGGCCTCCCAAAGTGCTGGGATTACAGGTGTGAGCCACCGTGCCTGGCCCAGGACTCCCTTTCTAGGCGAAGTCAACCACCATGTAGGAAGTAAGACTATAGACTGTCCCAAGACCACCATGCTGTGAGGAGCCCAAGCTAGCCCCACGGAGTAGCCATGTGGAGAGAGATGTCCAGGACAGGCTTGGTGGCTCATTCCCGTAATCCCAGCACTTTGGGAGACCGAGCTGGGTGGATCACTTGAGGTCAGGAGTTTGAGACCAGCCTGACTAACATAGTGAAACTCCATCTCTACTAAAAAAAATACAAAAATTAGCTGGGTGTGGTGGTGGGCGCCTGTAATCTCAGCTACTCAGGAGGCTAAGGCAGGAGACTTGCTTGAACCCAGGAGGCAGAGGTTGCAGTGAGCCGAGATCACATCATTGCACTCCAGCCTGGGCAACACAGTGGGACGACATCTGTCTCCCAAAGTGCTGAGATTACAGGCGTAAGCCACCGTGCCCAGCCGGCATGGTAAATTTTCACATGTATGTGCCCACATGACTATAACCCAGACCATGATATAAACATTTCTGGGACCAGAATGTTCCCTTTTGCCCACTGCTGGTCAATGCCCCTCAGCTCAGAGATACCCGCTGTTCTGACACTATCACCACAATGTTTTGTCTGTTCTTGAATGTCACCTAAACAAAACCATACAGGCTTGCACTCTACTGTGGTTACTTCTGCTGAACACTGTATCTGAAAGATTCACCAATGTTTTGTATGTAGCAATTCTTTAAAAATTGCTCTATAGGCCAGGCATGGTGGCTCATGCCTGCATGCCTGTAATTCCAACACTTTAGGAGTCTGAGGCAGGCAGATCATAAGGTCAGGAGTTTGAGACCAGTCTGGCCAATATGGTGAAACCCTGTCTCTATTTAAAAAAAAAAAAAATTGCTGTATGGTATTCGGATGTATGAATATACCAGTTTATTCATTCTGTAACTGATTGGCAACTATACTGTTTCTTTATGCTGATGTATTCCCACACTCATCCTTTTGTGCATGTGAGCGCTCGTTTCTCTTGGGGGTGTAAGCAGGAGTGGAAATGCTAGGCCATAGGGTAGATGTGTATCTAACTGTATGAGAAGCTGTCAGTTTCCCACCATGGTTGTACAAAGCACACTCGCGCCAGCAGCGCCTGGGAGCTGCCATCCTCCACATTCCTACCAGCACGTGGTACTGGCAGACCTTTTCCTTTGAGCTATTCTAATAGTGGGGGAGTGTGATCTCATGTTTTTTGAGACAGTCTCACTCTTGTTGCCCAGGCTGGAGTACAGGGGCGCCATCTCGACTCACCACCACCTGTGCCTCCCGGGTTCAAGTGATTCTCCTGCCTCAGCCTCCCGAGTAGCTGGGATTACAGGCACCTGCCACCACGCCCAGCTAATTTTTGTATTTTTAGTAGACACGGGGTTTTATCATCTTGGCCTGTCTGGTTTTGAGCTCCTGACCTCGTGATCCACCCACCTCAGCCTCCCAAAGTGATGGGATTACAGGCGTTGAGCCCCCATGCCCGGCTGATCTCCCAGTTTTTGATGAGATATGGAGCACCTTCCTGAGGTTGGTCTGGTTTTTGTAGCTCCCCTAAACAGCCCTGAGGAGGAGATGGGAGCAGGGTTGATGAGGGGATGTTGCCACAGCCAGGTGTGAGATTGGGGAGCCCCAAGTTAGGCTGAGGCTAGAACGGAGGCAGAGGATGGGATTGAGAGCTGTCCTGCAGGGGAAGGTGGGAGAGTGAGGATGGACGCCAGAGCTGCCAGCGACAGACATCCCATCTCCTGGCGGCTAGGAATGCTCCTTATCTCCTAAGCAAGCAGTGCTGAGGCAGCGCAGCGCCGCGCCTGGGGGAGCTGACGGCACAGGGTCTTGTCTTTCCTCTGCTCTGACATTTTCAGCCATTGATGAGGCAAGATGGCGGCAAGGCCAGAAGAGAGGGGTCCCCTCCTTGTACCCCTTCCCCACCTTTTTTTTGAGACGGAATTTTGCTCAGGCTGGAGTGCAGTGGTGCAATCTCAGATCACTGCAACCTCTACTGCCTGAGTTCAAGTGGTTCTTCGCCTCAGCCTCCCAAGTAGCTGGGATTACAGGAGCTTGGTACCACGTCTGCATAATTTTTTGTATTTTTTAGTAGAGACAGGGTTTCACCATGTTGGCCAAGCTGGTCTCGAACTGACCTCAGGTGATCCGCCTGCCTTGGCCTCCCAAAGTGCTGGGATTGTAGGTATGAGCCACCTTGCCCGGCCTCTTGTGCCCCTTTTTAAGACCAAGGACACCCTTCCCAGATGCCCCCTCCACCCTGCTCCCAAGACTTCCCCCACATTTTACAGGAAGTGCTTCCCTTGTCCATTCCTGAACTAATCCCTGGCAAGGGAATGGGAAGCAGTTTCCGCCCACTCCACAAGGTCACTCTCCTGTGGGTCACTCCCTGAACACACCAGGGACATTTGCTCCTGCTCCTGCCTCTGCATGGAAGGCCCTTCCTGATCCTTCTATCTGGAAGAGTCATCTTTCAAAGCTGCTTCCAAAGGCACTCTTCCACCTGCAGGCTGGGTTGGGGTCTCCTCTGGGTTCTCACAGCCACCTCTACTGGATGTGGCCAGTTTCTGTAGGTCTCAGAAATGGGACCTCTTCCCAGCCCCATGTGACCATAATCAGCACAGCTGGCCATGGTGAGGACTCCAGCCCACTGGGCCTGGGCCTGGGGTAGCCACAACCCCTGACCTCACCCCTGCCCAGGGTTGGCCATGACCTCAGGGCAAAGCCTCAGGAGAGAGGACTGGGACTGAAAGAAAAACACCCATTTGATGCTCAGAGTGGGGTATGACTTGCACCAGGTCATGGTCAGGGCCAGTCCTAGCTCCAGGCCTCTCTCAGGCCAGGGCCCTGTGCCCTCCTCCAGGGCTCCTCAGACTTCGAGGGTCACGTGAATCACCGGGGCAGCCTGTGAAAATGCAGACACTGGTTAAGTGGGTCGGGGTGGGGCCGGACTTGCTATTTCTCACCTGCTCCCAGCTGCCACTGGCCTGCAAGCCACACTGGGGGTGTCACAGTCCTTGCTCAGCCCAGAGCCCACTGCTTTAGGATGAGTAGGGTGTGGGTGGGGTGTGAGTGGGGAAGCCACTTCAAGAACCCCCAATCTCTGTTCTGGTTCTGTCAGCCATCTAGGACACCAGAGCTGCTGGAACGTTTTATTAAGTTAAGAGGTTCAGGGAGCAGGAGAGAAACACCTTTGCACGGCATAGCCTCAGAGGAGGCTGTGGGGCCATGAGGCCAGCTGCTGGCTCCCTCTGTCCTGAGCCCCACGGTATGGGGCGTATGGGGCAGGAAGTGTTAGTAGGAGGTAGGGTGGGAAGAGGGTGGCACGCTCCCGCCTCTCCCCTGCAGAGACAGCCTGCCATGGCCGCTGCTGCCTGGGCCTCCACCAGACCCCGGGTCAGGGACACCAGCCCAGAAGCCCAAGAAGAGGGTGGCTGGAGACAGAGCGGGGGACCACGGTTGGAGGCACACAGCCGCCAGGAATTGCTTTTTTCTTTTTTTTAAGTATAAAGTATTTTGGAAAAAAAGGAAAAAAATCTATATAAAAATCTTTTCACATATAAAATCCTGAAGAAGGTGCAAGGTAAGACCCAGTGCGAGGGGCGCGCTCAGATACGCAGAGTGTGTGTGTGTGCATGTGGACATGTGTGTGTGTGTGTATGTGTGTGTGTGGTGGGTGCAAGTGCACGTGTGGCCCACAGAGGGTGGGGAGAAAGCTTGGCTTTGGACTTCCATCCAGCAGGGAAGAGGGCGGCTGCTCCTCCAGGCTGGAGGGTCTGCAGCTCGGCGGGACCTGAAAGACAAGGTGTGGCAGGGCTGAGAGGCTTCTAGGACACCACCCGGGCCAGGTACAGCCAGATCTGCTCTTCCCAGCTCCTTCCCAAGTAGCTCGGCCACAGTGTGGCCTCTCCTGTGTGTCTTAAGAAGTCCATGGGGATTTGTCAGAAAGAGGATGCTCCAGGTAGATTTGGCGTTGAAAAAGCAAAAATAGGCCGGGCGCGGTGGTTCACGCCTATAATAATCCCAGCACTTTGGGAGGCTGAGGCGGGTGGATCACGAGGTCAAGAGATCGAGACCATCCTGGTCAACAAGGTGAAACCCCATCTCTACTAAAAATACAAAAATTAGCTGGGCATGGTGGTGCACGCCTGTAGTCCCAGCTACTCGGGAGGCTGAGGCAGGAGAATTGCTTGAACCCAGAAGGTGGAGGTTGTGGTGAGCCGAGATCGCGCCATTGCACTCCAGTCCGGGCAGCAAAAAGAAAAAGAAAAAATAAAACACTCTGGGCAGGTGCAGCAGCTCACGCCTGTAATCCCAGAACTTTGGGAGGCTGAGGCAGGTGGACTGCTTGAGCCCAGGAGTTTGACCCTGCCTATAAAAAAGTACAAAAATTATCTGGGCATGGCGGTGGGGGCCTGAGGTCCCAGCCACTCAGGAGGCTGAGGTGGGAGGATGGCTTAAGCCCAGGAGGTTGAGGCTGCAGCAAGCCGTGACTGCATCACTGCATTCCAGCCTGGGAGACAGAGCAAGACCCTGTCTCAAAAGAAACGAACAAAACCACTTCCAGCCCTGCTAAGTCCAGAATAAGTTAAGACTAACCAGGACAGAGGCCCGGCCTCGGTGCACAGTGTCCGTGTGTGAAGTGGGTGGAGGCTCACTCTGGGGTCAGAGGAGTGTGCACTGTATGTGCCTCCAGCCCTGAGGAGGGTGCACGCTGAGCTGGCTGTGGCTCCACACTGCGCTGCCCAGCTCTGGGGGAACAGGCTCAAGCAGATGAGGCAGGCTGTGGCCTGGGTCTGATGGGATCTCAGCAACAACCTCGTGTTGCTGGTTTCATCGTCCCTTTCACAGAACGGGAATTGGAGGCCAGAGGAAGGAAATGCCCTGGCTGGGGTGGCCCAGGGAGTCCCAGGTGTGGGAGAGCCTTAGCCCCGGCCCAGCCTGCAGGGTGCACGCCTCGGCACCCACCTCTACTCAGCCAGGCTGTTACGCATGGCCTCCTTTTCCTGCAGGGCGGCCATGGCAAGGCGCAGGTGCTCCTTCAGCTGCTCGATCTCCCGTTCCGACCGCGTCTTGATGTGGCTCAGCTCCACGTAGACGTCCTGGTACTTTCCCGAGGTGAAGCGCTTGTCCTGCATGGCAGGAGGCAGGTATGAGGGGACGAAGCCTCTCCCTCCATCCCTGCCCACCTGGCACTTGGGCAGCACCAGCAGCCAGACCTCCCTGTAGCCCCCTTGCTTCATCCATCCAGGTGGCTCCCCTAGGTGGCCCTGTTCTTGGTCTTACCCCTCCCACCTCCCTGGTACCACCCAGGGACACAGGCGTAATTGGCATCCTCCTCCTGTTTAGGAGGAGATTTTGCCCAAGACTGAAGGGCAGTGAGTGGTTGGGATGAGAACCAGGTCAGCCTGGCCGGGTGCTCGGGCCCTTCCCGTGAGTTCACACCACCTGTTCTTCAAGCACGGTAAACTCGTTCTGGCTCAAATATGCTTAAAGAGTCCACTTCCCGCCCCAAACTGACAGCACCAGGCAGGGACACAGCAGCTAAGGGTGGGCCAGGTGGGTGACAGACTCACACCTGGGCTGAACCCCGACACGCCCAACTCCTAGCAATGTGGCTATTCTCCCTTGAGTGCAAGGTCCACACAGCAGAGATCTGGGCTATTTTGTTCCCATCTGTCTTCCCAGCACCCAGCGCAGTGTCTGGGACATAGTACGTGCTCACTAATCACCAATAAATTAAATAATGCTAAATAAATAGAAGCAAGTATGGCCTTGGGCAAGTCACTTCCCCATTCTTAGCCTCAGTTTCCCTGTCAGTGAATGGGGATGACGACACCTACATGGGAGAGGCACAGGAGAGCCTGAGGAAGGATGAGGCAAGTGGAGGGCTTGGCACAGAGCAGGTATTCACAGGATGGCACCCAGGTGGCTCCAGAGGCCCCCGCGACCCCCACGCCCAGTGGCAGGGCCTACCTTCTGCATCATCTGGAGCTCGTCCCGGAGGCACTGCACCTCCTTCTTCAGGTACTGGAGTTCGTTCTCTTTTACTCGAAGCAGCATCTGGGGATATAGGTGCCAGGCTGACCCAGGGCCAGAAGGCAGAGCTACCCTGGCCCACAGCGCCCTGCAGCCTGCCTTCTCTCTGCCTCAGGCCCCTAGAATGCAGCCCCTATCTGCACCAAAACCCTTGACATGCTGGAGTCAGATTCCTCCAGGAAGTCCTCTTTGGTTCCCCTGCTTCCGCTTCCTCTACTCTCACCCCTGTCCAGCCTGTGTGAGTGGCTATCTCACAGTCAACTCTGCTGCAGCCCTCATGCAGCACCAGGCTCTCACCTCTGGGTTAAGGAAGATGAAAAGAAGCCCTACATAAACCTGGGCGGCTGGGTCACCCCACAGGCCACCTCACTAACCCCTCCCCAACCCTGAGGGCCAGGTGCTGCTGACTTGACCATGGAAGAAACAAGTTCAGCCAGGACTGGGGAGGCTTAAAAGGCTCAGACTGGAGCCAGACTGCCTGGTTCAAGTCCCAGGCCAGCTGTGCAAGCTTTGGTAAGGTACGTGCTCTCCCTGTGTCTGTCTCCTCATCTGTAAATGCGGACAGTAACAGTAGCTAACGTATGCAGCTGTCAGGAAGATTAGGTAAGTTAACAGACCAAAAGGACTTAAATTCTAGGCAGAGGGTGAACCTCACCTAGGTGTTAAGAAATAAAATACTAAGGCTAGGTGTGGTGGCTCATGCCTATGATCCCAGCATTTTGGGAGGCTGAGGCGGGCAGATCACAGGAGTTCAAGACCAGCCTGGCCAACATAGTGAAACCCCATCTCTACCAAACGTATAAAAAATTAGCTGGGTGTGGTGGTGAGAGCTTGTAATCTCAGCTACTGGGGAGGCTGAGGCAGGAGAATCACTTGAGCCGGGGAGGCAGAAATTTCAGTGAGCCGAGATTGTGCCACTGCACTTCAGCCTGGGTGAGCGAGTGAGACACTGTCTAAAATAAAATAAAATACTAGAGTGATCCTCGGATCACACACACATATTTTCTTACCCCAGTAAGGGAGGTGCTAGGGCCATTTTACAGATGAGCTACTGGGACTCAGAAAGGTGGAGTGACTTGCTATGGTACACGGCAGGCAGGTGATACAACCCAGGTAGGAGGGCAGAATTCTGGCTACTGGATGCATAGTAGATGTTCTGGCCTAGTTAGGTTGGCCCAGCCACTGGGGGACTTGGAGTTCCCGTAGCAGGTGATAACCCAGCCTGTGGGTGGAGTGCCACATAGCCCTGGGCTCCAAGAGCCACTGGGCTGCCTGGTGCTGGTGAGGGCACTCACCTCCAGCTCACAGGAGCTCCGCTCATTGCTGCGCCCGCAGCCGTTGCCCATCCCCTGCGAGGCGATGAAGCTGCGCAGCCGGTCTATCTCCTCTGACAGGTGGGCATGCAGCTCCTGGGAGGGGCACAGTGGTCAGGGCAGGGTGCCGGGACCCACCCATGTTCCCCCAACCTGAGGCTAGGCCCACCTGGTTATGGCGCAGTAGCTCCTGGCTCTCCTGCTGGCAGCGGCGCAAGGTGTGCTCACGCTCCTCAGCCTGCCGTGTTAGCGCCCCAATCTCCAAGCACTTCTGTGAGTACTGCTCCGATAGCACCTGCAGCTCCCGCTTCAGTGCCTCCACATCTGACCTGCCCCAGAGGAGGAGCAAAGGACAGCATGGGTTATCTTGCTCCTGCCAAGCCTGGAGTCCAGTCATGGCAGACTCAAAGCATCCCGGAATTCTGGGGTTCCCTCTCTAGGTTTGCCTTCAGCCTGCTGTGGGGCTGTGAACCAGTGACAGCCTCTCTGGATTGCAGGTGTTTCCCCTATGAGAGAGAGTGGCTTGGAGGAGCATATCTTTAAAGCCCCTGAAGCATCAACATTCCAATACTGTGCTCTGGGGCAGGGAGAGACATACTGGTCAACAGTGACACTGCAGTCCAGCTCTAGGGGAAACTAAAGGGGTGAAGAGCTGAGTGGAGGCCAGGACCAGCCAAGACAAGAAGGCGCCTGAGGAACTGTCTGTGAGGACTTGCATGGGGTCTGCCTGAGGACTTTCTCCTGTTTCTTGCATCCATGAGACTGGTGCAGGAATCTCAGCTAGGGGCAAACCGATGTGTCTCTGCCAAGAGGTCTCAGCAAAGTTCCTCAACTCATAACCATTAGGGTGGGCAGCTGGACCCGGCTTCATCTTACTGGTGCTGCTTCCGGAGGCCATCTGGGCCCTGCTGGAGACTCCGTGTTTTGCTCAGCTCTCGGCTCAGCTCTTCCTGGTAGGCCTTCTTCATGGCTTCAATGGCTGGAAGCAGGGCAGAGAGACACAAGAGAGACTGGAGGAGGGTCAGCAGCACCAAGTGTCACGGGCTCTGAGGTGCCACATGTACCGGTGGAAACAGGACCAAGGAGCAGTATGCAAAGAGCACTGAACCAGGAGTCCAGAGCAGCCCAAGCTGTGTCATAAACTGAGTGGCTTTGGGTAAGTTGCTCAACCTCTCTGAGCCCACTATTAAGGGAAGATAATCCTGTTGGATGGACCCTGCTGGGGAGATACCTCAGTGTCTGACCACTGGTACCTCCTGTTCTAGTGATTTCTGGGTAGGACCCCACACAGTGCACCCTCCCTGCAGACTCAGAGGGCTCTCAAACAAGGACTCTCTGCTTTGCCCAGCCTGGTGGTCAAGAGCTCCAGTTCCAGAGTTGGCATAAATCTATGTGACTTTGCACAGGTGACTTAACCCCTCATGCCTGAGGTCCCTTATCTGGAAAACAGGGATGACAAAGTATCTTTCGTCCATGAGGTTACTGGAAGATGTGTGTGAAGCATTTAGAACAAAGCATGGCTTGGAGCAAATGCCCCAACATTGCTCCTGCTGGCTTTATCCTCAGACTGTGAGCTCCTAGGACCAAGATTGAGGCTTTTTTCCCACTCAGCGTTGTTGTGAGGACTAAACAAGCCACACCCACAATTTTATCCACAATTCTAAGATCCAAAACCTCTGAACATTGTAAGTTTCTCATAATTCTTTTTGTTGTTTTTTTTGGATGGAGTCTGGCTCTGTCACCCAGGCTGGAGTGAAGTGGCAAAATTTCAGCTCACTCCAGCCTCCATCTCCTAAGTTCAAGAGATTCTCCTGCCTCAGCCTCCTGAGTAGCTGGGACTATAGGTGTGTGCCATTATGCCCTGCTAATTTTTGTATTTTTAGTAGAGATGGGGTTTCACCATGTTGGCCAGGCTGGTCTTGAACTCCTGACCTCATGTGATCACGGCCTCCCAACGTGCTGGGATTAGACATAAGCTACCACATCCAGCCCCCGGTAACTCTTTTGGTGGTGATCCCCACCCGGAATGGACATGAGGCTATTTATGGTCTCTATTATTCCACTTAAGTGTGATTTTTATCCATTTCACAGCGGAAACCTTAGTGCTAGATTACAGGGTGAAGTCCAGACTCTGCTGGGGGGGGTGGGGGCCTCTGACACAGGCACCTGCAACGGCCATCTTCCTAAAATGCAGAGCACACTGGGCCCAGGCTGGGTTTGAGTACACGAGCACTTGGCACAGCACTGGCAGGTTGCGAGCTTCAGATCATGTGACATTGGCCATCATTTCTATTCATCTGCAAACCCCTAGTGGTGCCTAGGAATGTGCCAAGCACACAGCAGGTGTGCAGTGGACAGGAGTGGAGGGAACTGTCTAGGATGAAGGGTGCTCCTGTGGGGAAGATGTGGGGCCCAGTGCCTGGCACGCAGCTGGGGTGGACAATACTCACACCTTCTCCTGCTCTCCCCAAGGTCTGGCCTATGTGCCCAGGGAGGAGTCACTCCTATGAGGACGGGGATGCAGCTGGTCAGCCTCTCCCTGCAGCATGTGGGCAGCGTGTGGCTTCAGGCAGATTCTCTGGTGGCTGCAAACCCCTGAGCGGCAGGAGTCACCACCCATGGTAGTGGTGGTGTTGGGGGTGGGGAGGGTGTCTTTTTTTTTTGTTTTTTGAGACAAAGTTTCACTCTTATTGCCTATGCTGGAGTGCCATGGCGCACCTCCCAGGTTCAAGTGATTCTCCTGCCTCTGCCTCCCGAGTAGCTGGGATTACCAGCATGCACCACCACACTCGGCTAATTTTGACTTTGCAACACGGTTTCTCCATGTTGGCCAGGCTGGTCTTTAACTCCTGACCTCAGGTGATCTGCCCACCTTGGCCTTCCAAAGTGCTAGGATTACAGGTATGAACCACCGCACCTGGCTGGGGAGGGCGTCTTTTACTGCCTCATTTTTACCTTTTCAAGTAGGGGCTACAGGCCAGTTCTGGGTGCTTCCAACCCCTGCTGACCCTTACCCCAAATGTGACACTGAGACCCCTACCTCTTATTTGATAAAATCCTCCCTAGTTTGGCCAGGAGGAGCTCAGTGGGGAGGCTGAGGGCTCAGCCCACTGTGCCCCACCCAGGGTCCATACCTGAGGCTGTGGCTGCTGTCTCCTCGGCCAGGAGCCACTCCTTCTCCTGCTGTAGCCGCTGCAGCTCCCGCTCGTGGTGCCGCTGCAGCTCCTCCATCACCTGCTGGTGCGAGGACTCCATCTCTGCCAGGCTGCGCTCACATGCCTCCTGCAGGCCGGAGGCCAGGGTGTCAGGGGCTGCCCGTTCCTCTGGGACAGCGGCCCTTTCCCAGACTCCAGAAAAGGCTCAGGGGCAGGTGCACCACCTCTTCCTGGGCCCTGGCACCTCCAGCCTGCACCTACTCCTGCTCCAACCTCCACCCGACAGCTCCTCATTCACAAACCTCACCTTGTCATTCCTGCCTCAAGCCCTCCAGGGACTCGGGGTCCTACAGAGTCAAGTCCCTGCTCCCACGGCTGACGTTTGCAGTCTCATCCCCGGCCCTTCTCTGCCAAGCAACCTTGTAGTTATGGTTGCAGCACGTTCACACCTCTGAGCTTTAGCTCATGCTATTCCCACTGCCTGGAACACTTTTTTGGCAACTTTACCTCCCTGGGGAATTTACTGACCTGCAACCTAGTTTAAATGTCTCTCCTAGCTCTGTCTCTGGGCAGCCTCTCCCCTACCTCAAAAGGTTCTGCTTCTACCAAACCATAAGTTCGCTGAGACTGAGAACACCTGACTGGTGCAGTCCCCAGGGTCTAGGCCAGGGCCTGACATGTGGCAGGTGCTCAGAAAATGAGCTGAAACTGATGATGTAATACAAAATAACGATTAGTAGGCAAGATGGGCAAATATCTCAAAGACTAGTAATACCCACTACTGGGAGTGTCCGCCGTGACAGTGTGTGTGAGGGGGTGGTCCGGTGGCATCATCACATTTTGCGACCCCACTGGCTGACCTAGCAGGTCCACTCCTTTTCTGATCCCACAGAAAGCCACATGTGTACAGACACTCCTGGAACAAGGGTATTTCTTCCCTACGGCAAGGTTGGTAACAGATGAAAACTGGAAACAATCTAAATACCTATCAGGGGAACTCTTGAATAAATGATGGGATCGAGCTTTACAAATTTTTTTTTTAATGGGTTGTTTTTTTTTTTTGAAGGGAGGGATGAAGGAAGGGAGGAGGGGGGAGGGAGGGAGGGAGAGAGGGAGGGAAGGGAGGAATTCTAGCAATGAGAGAGACATTGCTGACCTGGATCTAGAGGTTTACAAGTTGATTTCTTTATTTTGAGTGAAGGAAAGAAGAAAAAAATGAGTGAAGGAGAGGAAGAAAGAGGAAGAGAAAGAGGGAGAGTGAGTGGAATATTGCTTTATTCTGAAAAAAAATGGGTATTAATAATGGCCAATCAATATTTCATTTAAACCTATGAGTAGGTGTGATGTGGTATTGACAAGAATGTATATTTTATGTATTTGAAGTGGAGAGCTCTATGAATATTTATTAAGTTTACTTGTTCCGGATCTGAGTTCGAGTCCTTGATATCCTTATTAATTTTCTGTCTCATTGAATCTAAGTTTCTATGTATCTGGGTGTTAGGATCGTTAGCTCTTGTTGTTGCATTGATCCTTTTACCACTATATCTTTCTTGCTTTAAAATCTATTTTATCCGATACGAGAATTGCAACTCCTGCTTTTTTATTTATTTATTTATTTATTTATTTATTTATTTTTGCTCTCCATTTGGTTGGTAAATCTTTCTCCATCCCTTTGTTTTGAGTCTTTGCGTATCTTTGCCTGTGAAACAGGTCTGGATGTAACATGACATTGGGTTTTGGCTGTGTCTTTTGATTGGGGGATTTAGTCAATTTAAATTTAGGGTTACTGCCATTTGATGTTGACTGGCTGTTTTATCCATTCGTTGGTGTAAATTCTTCTTTATGTTGGTGCTCTTTACTTTTTGGTATATTTTTAGAAGGGCTGATACCAGTTATTTCTGTGTGTAATGCTTCTTTCAGAAGCTCTTGTAAAGCAGGCCTGGTGGTAATAAAATCTCTGAGTTCTTGCTTGTTCATAAAAGATTTTATTTTTCCTTCAGTTGTGAAGCTTAGTTTGGCTGGATATGAAATTCTGGGCTGAAGGTTCTGTTCTTTGAGGATGTTGAATATTGGCCCCCACTCTCTTCTGGCTTGTAGAGTTTCTGCTGAGAGATCTGCTGTAAGTCTGATAGGCTTGCCTTTGTGAGTAACCTGACCTTTCTCTCTGGCTGCCCTTAGTATTTTCTCCTTCGTTTCAACCCTGGTGAATCTAACGATTATGTGCCTTGGGGTTGCTCTTCTTGAGGAATATCTTTGTGGTGTTCTCTGTATTACCTGGGGTTGAATATTGACCTGCTTTGCTAGTTTAGGAAAATTTTCCTGAATAATATCCTGAAGGGTATTTTCCATCTTGGATTCATTCTCTCCGTCGCATTCAGGTACACCTATCAAACATAGATTTGGTCTTTTCACATAGTCCCACATTTCTTGGAGACTTTGCTCATTCCTTTTTATCCTTTTTTCTCTAATTTTTTCTTCGCGTTTTATTTCATTAAGTTATCCCTTATTCTGCTTGAACAATTCGAGTGTTTAAACCTGTGCAAACCTCTCGGAGTTCCTGTATTGTATTCTTCAGTTCCATTATTTCACTCATACTCCTCTCTAAGTTGTCTATTCTCAATAGGATTTCATCCAACTTTTTTTCAAAGTTCCTAGTTTCTTTACGTTGGGCTACAACATGTTCTTTTAACTCACCGAAGTTTGTTATTATCCATTCCCTGAAGTGATATTCTAGCACTGGGAGGCGCTCGTTCTCCATCAAGCCTTGTTCCATTGTTGATGTGGAACTGTGATCATCTTTAGAGGGAGAGGCGTTCTGACTTTGAGTATTCTCAACCTTTTTACGCTGGTTTCTTCCCGTCATTGTAAGTTTATCCTCCTGTGGTCTTTGAATTTACCAACTTTCAGATTAGGTCTCTTGAGTGGGCGTCTGGGTTGTTAGTTCCCAGGGCCAGAGCAGCGGCGTTAAAACTGCTTTTCTGCCCAGGATTCTCCTGTCGGGTTTCCTTCTTATGTCTGTAGTGGGTGACTCTGCCTTTCCAGGGCTCCAAACCTCGGTCAGAAGGGGAGCCGGTCCCGTTTACTCTGCGCCGAGCGCTCCCGCGCCGAGGTGCCGTCACAGCCGCTGCGCCGGACTCTGGTGTCGTGCTGGGGGCCCTTGTGGGTCCTCCAAACCTGTTTACTCTGCTCCGAGAGCTGCCGCGCAGAGGCGCTGGCAGAACTGCTGCACCAGCCATGAAAGTCGTGCTGGTGACCCGTGTGTTTCCTCCACTGGGGGATCTTCTGCTCCGCGAGCGACCAGAATTTGTCTGAAAGTGTGGCGTAGTCTAGTTCTCCGCTCCTTCACTGAGAGCTGCAGTCCCGAGATGTTAGCGATCGGCCATACTGGATCCCACAAATTTTTTTTTTTTTTTGAGATGGAGTCTCGCTTTGTTGGCCAGGCTGTAGTGCAGTGGCATGATCTTGGCTCACTGCAGTCTCTGCCTCCCGGGTTTAAGCGATTCTTCTGCCTCAGCCTCTCAAGTGGCTGGGATTACAGGCAACCACCACCATGCCCAGCTAATTTTTGTATTTTTAGTAGAGACGAGGTTTCACCACATTGGCCAGGCTGGTCTTGAACTCCTGACCTCATGATCCACCCACCTTGGCCTCCCAAAGTGCTGGATTACAGAAGTGAGTCACCATGCCTGGCCTAGAGAGAGTTTTTATGTGGATGCTGTGGAAAAAGATCCCAAAATCAGGTAGTGAAAGTTGGCTTCTGACACCAGTGGTATGATCTCACTCACGGAAACAAATGTGCAGACCTGTCCATCCCAGTCTTTAGACACAAAAACACAGAAAATGTAGGGAGGAGATTGTGGGGGGCAGAATGACAGCCCCCCAAAGTTGTCCACATCCTACTCCCAGGATCTGTGACTGTCGTGTTACGTAGCAAAGAGGAATTCAGACTGCTGTGGGAGTTAAGGTTGCTAATCAGCTGACCTTAAAATCGGGAGATTATCCCAGATTATCCCTCAAGCCCAGTGTAATCACAAGGGTCCTTAAAAGTGGATGAAGGGGCAGAAGCAAAGAGTTCAAGGGAGGTGTGACCAGGAAGGATGGTCAGAGTGACGTGGCGGGAGAAGGACTCAACTTCCCCTCTGCAGGCTTTGAAGATGAAGGAAGGGGCCGAGAGCCAAGGGACCTGGGTGGCCACCAGAAGGGATGCCACGGGCACCTGCAGAGGAACACAGTTCTGCCTCGGCTGCAGCGCGGCAAGACCCACGTTAGACTTCTCGCCTGCAAAAGTGTGAGGTAATACATGTGCATTATTTAGGCAGCTGTGGTGATCAGTTACAGCTGCCACAGGAAACTGAGAGGCGAGCAAGGCGGCAGCAGCCACCAACATGACTCTGGAGCAGTAGCTGGCAGTGGAAGGAGTGTGAGGGTGTTGATTTCTAACCTTTCAATTTGTTTGAATTATTTTTGAAAATGTAAACATGTTTTTTATATAATTAAAAAAATGTTTAAGGTAATTAAAAAGGGAAGGGAAAGAAGAGCCAGAGAAGAAACTGAGGCACAGAGGGCCAGATGAGGGGCTGTCTCCTCCACACACAGGCCACCTCCCTGCCTCTCCGGCAGCCCCACCTGGACTGCAGGGGATGGTATGATGGAAGGGTGAGGGCCAAGAGCTCCAAGTGGGGACAGGGTAGGCTGTCCCTGACTTCTGTCCCTGCCCTCTATATGTCTCCCGGCTTAGGACAACAGAACATGGCTTTGGATCTCAAAGGGGGGTCCTCATCTGGCTGCATCTCAGAGTGAACCTGAACAAGCCCCTCGCCCCTCTGAGCTTCAGTCTCGGCATCTGTAAAGCACGCGCCTCACAGGACCAGCCCCCGAGGCTCCCTGGGTATGGGACAGGAACCCTGTGCAGACAGGAAGACCGTATGCCAGTCGAACCCACCAGTGGGGAGCCCAGCAATGTGGGGGTGGGAGCTTCTGAAAAGGGCCAGATCAGGCAGGCAGACCTGGCAGCTCAGGGGTGCAGGGGCTGACATCGGGAGGTGGGACCCAGCTGACGAAGAGGGACTCCTAGGTGGCCAGGGAATGCTCTGTGACCTACCTTCCTGAGCGGCCCAAGGTGTCCTGATTCTGGCTGCTGCCTCTAACGTGCATATCAAAGTAGACAAATGCCTCTGTCACCCACCGTAACAGAGGGGAAGGGTCCTCTTCACCAGACATCCAGTGGGTGAGCCCCAGACCACCCGACAGCTGTCCCACAGCGGCAAGCCCCCAGTCCTTGAAGGAAGGGCACCCACTCAGCCTGAGACACCAGCTGGGGAATCCCTCCCCAGCTGTCACTCCTCCAGGTCCACGGAGTTTCCAGCTGCCTCCTCCCATGCCTGAGGGCGACACAGATGACTCAGCTCCTCTTCTCTGACGCCCTCCGCATCTGGCGTCAATCCTCCGCCTGCCTGGTCTTCAGCTCTATTTCCCAGTTACTCCCTTCTCCCCTCCCACCTGCTCCCCCTGCCCATGCCACTGTAACGGGATAAAATGCTGACAGCCTTTGGTGTACCCACAGGGGCATGTGGGGACCAGAACGCCTGGATTCCAGACACAGGTCTGCCCACAGCTCAAAGATCACACCCTTCTGTGGGCCTCAGTTTTGCCACCTGTAAGCTGAGAAGCCACAGCAGTGCCTTTCAAACTTCACTGTAGCGGCAGAGCCTTTATCCAAAGGAAATCTAAAGCTGGCTCTGCTCTGTGGGTAAAATAGACAAAGATGGGCCAGTGCAGTGTTCACACCTGTACTCCCAGCACTCTGGGAGGCCAAGGTGGAAGAATCACTTGAGCCCAGGAGTTCAAGACCAGCCTGGGCAACACAGTGAGGCCTTTCTCTACAAAAAAAAGTTTTTTAATTAGCCAGGCATGGTGGTGTGCACCTGTGGTTCCAACTCAGGAGGCTGAGATGGGAAGACTGCTTGAGCCCTAGAGTTCGAGGCTGCAGTGAGCCATGACTGTGCCACTGCACTGCAGCCTGGGTGACAGGGAGAGACCTCATCTCTAAAAAAATTAAAATAAAATGGAGAAAGATGAAGCTGCTCCGATTATAGGTGGGTACAAATGGGCCCCAGCCCCACCCACCGGGAAAGCAACCCCCGGAGCGCCTTAGAACAGGATGCATGTGAAAGCCCCCTGGGCTTTCTGAGGTCCTCCCACCTGCCTCATCTGGGGTGTTGGGCCCCCAACTCCCTTCTCTGCCTGGGGGAGGGGCTACAGTGCACGACATCGGCCTCTCCCCTACCCCTCCCCAGGACAGGGTAAGCCCCCAGGCTCACCTTCTGTGTCCCACCCCTGCTCCTCTGCCTGCTCCTCCATCAGCGGAACCTCCATCCACTACTTGCTCCGCCCCAGGATGGTCTCTGGGCTTCCTTGCAGGAGCAGCCCCAGCCTCAGGGGCCCCGAAGGCTATGGGTAACCCCCCATATAGGCACTGAGGAATGAGAGCTAAGCAGAACCCTGGCACAGTTAGGGCCTGAGGAATATCTCACTTTATAGTGTTACTACTCAGCTATTTCCTTTTATATAATCCTTTATATAATCATATATTAGTTTATAGAAATAGGGCTTGACGAATCCCTTTATCGAATCCTCTATATATAATCATATAATAGTTGATAGTATGAGTGCCTAAAGAATATCTCCCTATATATATACCTGTAATTATATCTTAGTTCATATCGGAGGAATGCCTAGAGTGGACACAGTACAGAGCATGAATTAAGGGATAAGCGGCTTATAATCGGAGGAATGCCTGGAGCAGACACAGTGCAGAGCATGATATAAGGGAAAAACAGTTATACCAGGACAAGAATCCATGGCCCAGGCGGCAGCGTTCAGTATCACAAAGATACCCGCTGTATGGCAGGCTTGGGGCGAGAGCCACTCCTCCTGATAAAGGAGTTGTAGGACCTTGCTCCAGTTCTTGCGGAAGACTGCCCTCAGACCGGCAATCCACCTTGGTGACTGTGAACTTATCAGCTCTTGCTAATTGTGCTGCTTGAAAAGCATCTTCCCATAGAACCCACTGGAAGCTGCCAGAAGGTGGCGGTAACCTTGACAGCTCTGTCACTGCCATGTGACTTAAAGCATCCTCCTATAAACCTCCTTAGAAGTAGTTTGCCCATAGATAAAAGTATTGCACACTGCACCCTCTTCACTGCGCATGGCCCACCTTCAAGCCTCGGTGACCTAATGGGGGTGGACCCCATGTTTTATTGCTCACGACCCTATCACTATCCTTAAAGATGATTTCACTCACTGCCCTGCCCGCTAACCTATACACAATAAATACTCATGCTTCTGGACCTTCGGGACCTCGCCTGACTCCACTCAGAGGTGGTGTGGCCCCGAGCCCAGCTGCGTTTTCCTTGTACTTCTGCCCTGTCTCTTTATTTCTCGGATCCTGCGCCTCAGCACAGCATAAGGCTCACCCCACGACCCTGTGGGGCCATCGCCCTACAAAGGCACCTCTACCTTCCACAGATCTGGTCATCCAGTCCTAAATTCTGCTTCCTCCAGACCCCTGATTCGCCCTCCTATAGCCACTAACCTAGTGTCTTATACCTGGCCCTCTCCCAAACCCCCTCCACTCCAACATCACTTTCCTGACGTCACTGTCTGACACCAAACTTCCAAAAGTCTATGGAGTGAAGTTTTTTTTTAAAGATAGATTCTCACCATCACCCAGGCTGGAGTGCAGTGGCAGGATCTCAGCTCACTGCAACCTCTGCCTTCCGGGTTCAAACAATTCTGCCTTAGCCACCAGAGTAGCTCCACTACGGCCTGCTAACTTTTTTTTTTTTTTTTTTTTTTTTTAGTAAAGAGCGGGTTTCACCCTGTTGACCTGGCTGGTCTCGAACACTTTACCTGAAGTGATCTGCCACCTCAAACTCCCAGAGTGCTGAACCACCGTGCCTGGCCAGAGCTTCTAACTCTTAGCTCAGCACGGGAGGCCTCTATAATAGGCAACAATCAGCCTTTTTTCTCATGTCCCGGACAACACCTTCCTGAGAGCCCCTTCACGTGACTTCTGCTTGGAAACTTCTAGAAGGCTCCTCCTGCCTGGCCTGTATCTCAGCCTTCTTATCTACTTTAGGTGATGGTGTGCTGACTGCAGACAGTTGATTGTCAAATTTTTAGGAATTCCGTGATGTAGTTCTTAAGCACAGCCATTAAAAATTAAACTTTTATACTTATAATTAAATTAACTAAATTAAAGACAAGGTAATGGATACTCAAATTTATTACTTTCTAATTATCTCACTGTTTTATTATGTGTGCTCTTGAGGTCAGTCACATCTACTGTATCTGCATGGTGGAAATCCTACAGAACGATCTGACATCTCTTCCCAACTGTGTGTCCAGGGACTTCATGCTGGTAACGCAGCCCCAGCCACAGTGGGAGTATCCACACCACGGGACTGGTACACGGTACGCACCACAGCAGGGCTGGATTGATTGTTTGGTTGACTGTCTAGACTTAAGCAAGTGATAAGAAAATGCTAATAACGAGACTGAACTTAAAAGTGTGTCACAGCTATAACCATTACATTGTAAATAAACAAAGAATCGCAAAAATATTCACAATAGGATATTCTCAGATATTCTTAAAAAGCGACTATCAGATTTAGTAACGCAGTCTCCCACAACATGGACCAGTAAAGTTTCGACAAATGTCTCGTCATCTCACTCATTGCCACAGGGAAAAGTGTCAACCAGTAGACATGTTGAAACAACCCGCTTGTTAATTAGTTGTGGATACAAGAGTACGGAAAAATCACTGAGAGCATTCTGAGAAAAGTCCATTTGCTATATGGAATTCACAGTAAAATTATCTATTGGTAAACTGGGTACTAAACATTGTTTTCATTGGTAAAATTTATAATAAACTTACATATGGGTACACACACTTTTTTTCTAGATAGTTTGTCCTAGTTGTGACAACCAAAATTGTTCCCAGACACAGCCAAATGTCCCCAAGGGAAACAAAATGGACCCAGTTAAGAACCACTGTCCTAGGCAGATGGTGCATTCTGAGACTCCCTGGTCCTGCAGACCTCCTTGTGTGGGGCCTCGGAGGATTTCCCTGTGTTCAGGGAGTGACTCTTGGGGCCACTGGCCCCCTCTTCCCCGGGGGAAGGTTCCGAGTGCAGAGTGTCACACGGGGACTCACAGGCTCTGCAGTCAGCTGGACCCTGGCTCAAATCCCACCTTTGACACCTGCAGGCAGGGTGACCTCAGGCAAGTCACATAACCTCTCAGAGCTCAGTGGCCTTGTCTGTAAAATGGGCACCGTGATCAGGCCCACCAGCTGTGGGGAGATTAAACGAGATGACGTATGTCAAATGCCTCACATGGGTTCCAGCACACACAGGAAGGGCTCCCAAAATCTCAGCTTTTTACGATAACACCGCAATCAGAAACCTGCCCGTTCCCCCCCAAAAACAGCCCCCCAGCCTTACCTGTGAGATGTAGCCCGGGGGGATGTGGCCGTCCTCCTGGGATCTCGGTGCACTCTGAGGAGCCTCCCCTTGGAGACGCCATGCCTCCAGCTGGGCCCGAAGAGCCTGCACCTACGAGGGAGGAGGGTAATCAGTGGGGCCTGGAAGCTGGGGCAGGGCTGATGGAAGGCAGTGAGGAGCCCACAGGCTGCCAGCTCCACATGGATGCAAGCCCAGCATCCCTGGGAGGCTGAGGAATGGCTCAGGGTTTGAAAGAGGGGCACGCAGCCCTGGAGTGAGATAGGGCCAGGGGACACGCTGGGCTGTTTCCTGGATGGTCAGGTCAATGACCTGGGAGAACCTTGGCCCAGAGAAGACTAGACAGGGTTGGGAACAGGAAACTGTGGTCACAGATATTTACACATCATGTAGGTGACAGAGGAAACATCTTTGAGCCCCAGTTTTCCCATCAGTAAAACTGCTAAGGTCCACCCTAGGGGTGGAGGCCGCTGTGAGGATTCCATGAGTCAGTGCAAGCAGAGAGGCCATGTGCAGAAGATAATAAACACAATAACGGTCTCTCCCTTCTTCTTCTTCTTAATTTAAGACAAGGTCAGGCTCTACTGCCCATGCTAGAGTGCAGTGGCTTGATCTTGGCTCACTGTAACCTCACCTCCTGAGCTGCAGGCATCCTCCCACCTGAGCCTCCCAAGTAGCTGGACTACAGGTGCACGCCAGCACACCCAGCTAAATTTTGTATTTTTTGTAGACATGGAGTTTCGCCACGTTGTACAGACTGGTCTCGAACTCTTGGGCTCAAGTGATCCTCCCCCCGTGGCCTCCCAAAGTGTTAGGATTACAGGTGTGAGCCATCGTGCCTGGCAGGTCTCTCCCTTCCTTCACCACTTCGCTTCCCTGTGGTCGATAAGGGCAGAACTAGGGAAAAAAACAAACCAAACCAAACCAAACTACTAAGGTCTAAGGAAGGAGATGCTTGTTCACAGGAGTGTAGGGCACACACTCACAGCAGATGGGGTGAGCTCCCATCCCTGCAGGAGTGCAAGACAAATGCCAGGGCATGAATGCAGCGACTAGAGGGGCACAGGGGCGAGGGGCCTCCTAGAGTCAGCCGTGGGGCCTACCTCTTTCTCCAGTGCCTCATGGCTGTCACTTTGGGGCCCCCGGCGCTCTCCGCGGCTTTGGTTGAGCAGGGCAGTGAGTGGCACTCGCTTATTGTCCCGCAGAGGCAGCTTCTCCAGCTCCTGCCACTTCTTCTCAATCTCCTCACTGAGCCGGCTCTGCTGGTCCTCAGTCAGGGGGGCACCCAGACCCCGGCGCGGCCCCTCACCAGCAGGCACCTCTGGGGCCCTGCTGTCTGTGGCCTCGAACCACTTGCGCCGCTCCTCAGAGCGCTGGGCCAGGTCCCGCTCTAGCTCCTCCTGCTTGGCCAGGCGGTCAGGAGCACGGGCCGGGGTGCGGGCCCGCTGCGGGGGGGCCTGGGTCAGCGGGGAGAGCTCCACGTAGTCCAGGGCTTGCCGCTGCCCGTCCGCCTTCCGAGGGCCACCCCGGCTGATGACCTCAGAGCCTGCCCGCTGCTCCCCTGCCTTCAGGGGGCCCTTCTGGGTGCTGTAGCTGTGTAGCGCATTCTCCTTATTAGAGTCCGAAAGCCTAGGGCACCAGCAGAGCCACGTCAGGTGGGTCTTCTCCCACTCAGTCCCCCAACGAGCTCTTCTGGAGTGACACCTGTGTGCCAGGCCCTGTGCCAGGGGCTGGAGACAGACCCCAGGGAAGGAAGCAGCCTGACCTGAGCTTCCTGGCTAACAGACCCCAGGAACACCCCAGCTCCACCACTTGACATCCCAGGGGCCCGCCAGGACACCTGGCTTCCCTTGCCCCCTCTTCTTGTAGGTTTCTCAAGGGATAGGGTCTTACTCTGTTGCCCTGGCTGAAGTAAGGTGGTGAGATCATAGTTCACTGCAGGCTTAGACTCCTTAGCTCAAGTGATCCTCCTGCCTCAGCCTCCAGAGTAGCTGGGACTATAGTCGTGCACCACCATGCCCAGCTAATTTTTTAAGTTTTTGGTAGAGATGAGGGTCTCAATATACTGCCCAGGCTGGTCTCGAACTCCTGAGTTCATGTGATCCTCCCACCTCATCCTCCCAAAGCACTGGGATTACAGGCGTGTGTCACCACACTGGCCCCTTTGCCCTCTCTGAGCTTCAGGGACCTTATCTGTAACATGGGACAGCACCACCTCTCACAGGATGGATATGAGGACTGGGTGGGCAAGCGTGGAAAGCAGGCAGAAGGCTTTCTGCCAATGGTGATCAGTGAGTTGCTGTAGGAGACAATGGTCTGGGTTCCTGAGGCTCACAGTGGTAATGGGGGTGCCCACAGTCACTGCTGCTGGGGTGAAGGCAGGGACCTCGGAGTGCACAGAGCACACGTTGTAGAGACTCTGAACATCTATAGCAATTTCTTTTTTTTTTGAGATGAAGTCTCACTCTGTTGCCCAGGCTGGAGTGCAATGGCGTGCTCTCGGCTCACTGCAACCTCCGCCTCCCAGGTTCAAGCAAGTCTCCTGCCTCAGCCTCCCAAGTAGCTGGGATTACAGGTGCGTGCCACCATGCCCAGCTAATTTTTGTATTTTTAAGTAGAGATGGAGTTTCATATGTTGGTCAGGCTGGTCTCGATCCCCTGACCTCGTGATCTGCCCGCCTCAGCCTCCCAAAGTGCTGGGATTACAGGCATGAGCCACCGTACCCAGCTGCAATTCTCTTTATCCACAGTAATAGCTGAGTATGAAGTCACCCTGCCAAAAACTACACTTCCCAGTGTTCCCGAAGCTGCTTGTAGTCATGTGAATACAGGCCGAGTGGGTGTGTCAGGTGGCTCCTCTGAAAGGGCAGATCGGGCCCCACCAGGCCAGGACTGCATACCTCGGGGCCGTTCTAAAGGCAGAAATAAACATCTATCTTGGTTAAGCTACTGTGTTTGGGGTTTCTTTGTTAAAGCAGCTGGACCTATACACTAAATAACAGTCCAACTGCACAGTACTTCAGAGTTCACAAAGTGCTCTGGCCACATCCTTGCACGTGTACAGACGACGAGGACCCTGAAACCTAGACGGGAAAGTCTCTGGCCTAAAGCTGAATAACCAGTGTGGCCAAGCTGGGGGACTCTGCCTCTTCCCACCTTGGCTGAGAGGCACACCCCACCACACCTGGCTAATTTTTAAATTTTTTGTAGGGACAAGGTCTCACTATATTGCCCAGGCTGATCTTGAACTCCTGCACTCAAGTGTTCATCCCATCTCGGCCTCCCAAAGCACTGTGATTACAGGTGTGAGCCACCACACCCAGCCCAGCCCCCTTTAACACCACACTCTGGGTTGAGTGTGGTGGCTCACGCCTGTAATCCCAGCACTTTAGGAGGCTGAGGCGGGCAGATCATGAGGTCAGGAGATTGAGACCAGCCTGGCCATGGTGCAACCCCATCTCTACTAAAATACAAAAATTAGTTGGGCATGGTGGTATGTGCCTGTAGTCCCAGGTACTCAGGAAGCTGAGGCTGGAGAATCACTTGAATCCAGGAGAAGGAGGTTGCAGTGAGCCAAGATTGTGTCACTGCACTCCAGCCTGGCGACAGAGCAAGACTCAGTCTCAAAAAAAATTAAATTAAATTAATTTAAAAAATACCACACTCTGTTCTCACTGCCCAGCAGCTCCAAGTCCCAGCCCACCATAGCCATCTGGGGTTTATACTGTGGGGGGGCTCTGTCACTAGGTAACTCAGCTCTCCTGCCCCAATGCCCGTGGCAGCCTCCAGAGGGAGTGGGCTCCCCATCCCAGGAGGCACGGGTGCCGACGCCAAACTACATAGCCACCCCTTCCCAACACAGGGTTAGACACAACCCCCATGGCAGAGACAGAACAGCCCTCTAGCAGGGGCTTCTGACTCACAGGATCTCCTTCAAAGAGAAGGGGCCCCATCCATCACATGCGAGGAGGCTGATCAAACCTCTCACCCTCAGTGTATTTCAGGGAGATGCCAAGAATGCTCACTGCTCTCTTCCCACGTGTGAATAGAGAAACAAAGGCCCAGAAGGCAAAGCCCTCAGTAGAAACCTACTCAGGGATGCAAGGCCAAGTGCTTCCCCCAAGGCCCCAGTCCAGCTTAGTACGTACTTGGTGACATCTGGGGCTGAGGTTGGACGCACAGTCTTCCTCAGGGCCTCAATCCAGTTCCGCCGGATGCCTGAGGTCATGGCGGACAAGGTATAGACAGCATCCTTGGTCTGTAAGGCCACCACACAGGTAGGTTGCCACATGGCCAGCCCCATGTCTCTCTCCCCACCACGGACCCTGGGGAGGCTGACCCTTCCTTCCCAGGGGGCGTCTAAGGTCTTGACTCTGGGGTGGGTACGGGGTACAAAACCTCCCTTTCATTGGCCTGGGAGGAGCCCTGCTGGCTCCAACATCTTTCCACATATGTTAAGTGTTGGCATCACAGCTCTGTCTGGCTCTGAGGACAGAGTCTCTGGGTAAATGAGTAACAGGGATCCAGCCTCCATGGTGAGCCCCTCCCCCAGGGGCCTCCAGCCATGCTGCCCACCACCAGCCCCCAAGCTGCACGCAGTCTCACGTGGATCTGGAAGCCATAGTTGCGCTGCACCGCATACTCAGTGACATCCGTGCAGGAACGCAGGTCGATCTCACCATCCAGCTCATCTGCCTGGAGCAGGAGGGCCCACTATGGTCCGCATGGGCCTGCGCGTGACCCACCCCACTGACCCCAGCCAGGCCAGCCCAAGGCCTTCTGGGGGTTCATCAATACACCCCTGGGCTCACCTCCTCAGCAGTGGAGTCTCTGTAATATTTAAGGCTTGAATCTGTCAGCACAAACCAATGCTTCTTCCACTGCGAAGTAGAGGCGGCGGTGAGCGAGGGGGAGGGAGGCTGCAAGGAGAGTGGAATGAGAGAGCCAGTGTGTGCGATTGTACAGGTGTCCTGGGTGGCTGCCAAACTGACTATGCTGCACACAGGAGGGGTGTGGAAGCAGAAAACGCTGATTTGAGACCTGCCCCCTCCATTTCCTCTCTGAGCCTCAGGGACAGCATCTGTGAAATGGGCTGGCTTCCCCTCCATAACTACCAAATGGGCTGGCTTCCCCTCCCTTTCCTTCTTGGAGCCCTTTTTAAGATGGCCAAGGCTCCTCGGGCACCCCAGACCCAGTGCAGACAGGGAGGGGTGATGACCTGTGTGAGCAAGTCAGGGACTCTTTGGGGCCAGGACTTCACATCGTCTTCCATATTCCCCAGATCATCACCATGGTCAGGGACAATAGTCCCTTGGGGAGTAGGACTGGATGGAGCCCCGGGGTAGGGGTAGGAGTGAGTGCCAGGCACAATCTGCTCTTTTTTTTTTTTTTGAGACAGAGTTTCGCTCTTGTTGCCCAGGCTGGAGTGCAGTCTGTGCGACCTCAGCTCACTGCAACCTCTGCCTCCCAGGTTCAAGCAATTCTCCTGTCTCAGCCTCCTGAGTAGCTGGGATTACAGGCACCCACCACTACCCCTGGCTAATTTTTGGTATTTTTAATAGAGATGGGGTTTCACCATGTTGGCCAGACGGCTCTCAAACTCCTGACCTCAGGTGATCCGCTCAACTCAGCCTCCCGAAGTGCTGGGATTATAGGCCTGAGCCACCGTACCGGGCCACACAGTCTGCCTGTTGATCTGCAGACTGGCTACTGCATGTGCAGCGGGTGAAAGCGCACTAATCTGTACGTTCAGGGTTTGTGATTCGGTGCATTCCTGCTGTGCCTGTCTCTGCTCCAGCTGGGGTTAGACTGGCAGGACATGTAGGAAAGGGGTGGGGGCACCAGAACAGCCCAATATTATGCCAAGCCCAGCCCACCTCTGGGCTTCTGGAGACTCCACTGTAATCCCAGTCTCGGCCCGCCTACAGCCAGGGTCAGTGCTCATCACCTGGTCCCCAGCCCTCCCGGGGTTCCCTCATACCACCAAGCCCTGTCTGTGCTGTTTGGTGTTTCAAGTACTTAGTTTTCTCTCCTCAAGAAGAGGGTGAGTTTTCAGGGGGCATGCAAGGGTGACACTTTCTACTTCTTTCCACATTGCCTCCTGAGAAACAAGGTTTTGCACCCAAGAGTTCCCTTGCTCGCTGTGTGTCTTTAGGCAAGTGTCTCCACTTCTCTGAGCTTCAGTCTTCTAACCCATAAAGGAGAACTGTAAGAAGTCCCTATGCCTGGCGTAGGTCCTTCACGGGAGGCGGAGGTTGCAGTGAGCCAAGACTGAGCCACTGCACTCCAGCCTGGGAGACAGAACAAGACTCTGTCTCAAAAAAAAAAAGAAGTCCCTACACCTTCTGGTGAGGTAAGAGGTGCCCAACCCTCTCTTGTATGTATGGCTGTCATGGCCCTTGGCATAGGCATGGACACCAGGTCACTGGCTTTGTTCTGGGAGGCCGGGCCTCTCGGAGCCATTCTGCTCTCACTGAGTGAACTGAGTTGCTACTGCAGACCTCAACTGCCTCTCTGTAAATTAGGACAGGAGTTCTACGCCAAGTGGTTTCTTTAGCTTTTTCAGGCCTAGCCTACGACTGAGATGGAAGCTGGGTGGAGCTCTATGGGCCTCAGCTGTGCCAGGTTCCGAGCATGGGTCTGCCCCAGGTGCTCCTAGGCCTGGAAGAGACCTACACCCTCGTGCGCCTGTCTCCTGTCTGTGCACCAAGGGGTTGGGCTGGCTGAACTCCCAGGGCCCTTCCAGCTCGGACATTCCAGAACCCTGTGATTGAGGATGAGTAATGGCCAGCTCTGGGTGGGGCCCATAATCCCTCTGCCCTCCGGGGACCCTGGGTGGGGAGGCCGGGAAGGGGTCACTGGCCAGGTGCCAGCCTTTGTGTGAGCCTAGAGAGCAGCCGCCAGGGGCAGTGGGTAGGGAAGGCTGTGGGCTGGAGGGAATAAAACATGTGTGCCGGAAACACAATGAAATCCCCTCTGGCTTGGAGCCCTTCCCGGCATGCAGGCTGCACGAAGGCCGGAGCGGCAGGCGCATGCAGGGCCAGGGTGGGGAGACGCTCCTGCCCAGGCAGGGTGGGCAGGGAGCCAGCCTGGCAGCCGAAAGAACAGAGCTGGGAAACGGCCACTGTCCCTGCTGGTTCCAAGGACACATATGCCACAGGAAGGGAAGGGTCTTTAGCTGAGCCCACAGTAAGGGCCAGGGGCTGTTGGCACCTGTACACGATTGATCTCTGTGACCTTGTTATCCACCTCGAAAGAATCGCCATTATCCATTATGCCCATGTCACAGATGTGGCCACTGAGGCCTAGAGGAGGCTGTGACTCAACCCCAACCAGTGGGGCTCCAGGTGGATGAAACTCCAGCACCTGTGCCCTGAGCTCCGCCCCCTTCAGCCCAGGCTTTAGGAATCTGTGTCTCAGTCCAGACAACTTCCATCAGCCCTTCCACCCAAGACCCTCGACTCCCAGCCAGGCTCCTACTGAGGTGGGAGGGCCAAGAGGCTCTTGATGAGATCAAGGGATGGGGCACTGGATGTGAGGGGCTAGACGGCCCCCACCCTGGTCCCTTTTACACACTGCAGACTGCTCCAGGAGGCAGAAATCTGATGGGCAGCCCCTGCCCCCAGAGTTCTCACACCAGACCCAGCCCCCACCCCCACCCCAGAAGCCAGGGACAGCTCAGCCTCCTGGGCTGCCCCAGGGCCCGACATCAGCACAGTCCAGCCTCCTCTCTCCCACCTCGGTCCTCCTACCTCTCCAGGCTCATCCAAGATTGACATCCATCCCTTCTTGAAGTTGAGCAGGTCGGGCTGTGGGAGAGGAGGAGGGAGGTGAGTTGGGGCCAGCAGGAAGCTGACGGGGGCTGGTGAGGGGGACATGCTGCACCCACCCTGCCCCCAAGTCCTGTGGTACCAAGCTCTTAGGAAGCCAGCCAAGAGGGCTAAGGGCCTAGGTAACCCCCAAGTCCAAGCAGGCTCTCCAGCCACTGAAGCAGACCTAGCCCTTTCCTGATAGCGGCACTTAAAGAGCTGAGAAGGTGGGCTGGGTGGGTGGCACACTTGCCCGGATGTCCCAGGGCCCTCCCTCCAGCCCACTCCTCACCCAAGAGTTGGAGAGAGGGGCTGGGAGAACTCTGCCTGTAAAGTGACCTCCTGAGAGCTCAGAGGGCAGCCCAGACCAGCGGCACTGCGCAAACTATCCAGTTCCTCCCTCTGATGAGGACCAGGTGGCCTGAGGGGACCACACCTCATGCTCCTGCCTAGCCTGCCCCACAGGCCCTCCTGTCGCCCCACCAGTCCTGCCCTTCCCTTGGCTCCAGGAGACTATGGAAGGTAGAGCCAGTCGCAGGCTGGGGTCAGGAACCCTCTGGTCCCCCCAGATCTCTTTGGGAAGCTAGGGTACCTCAGTCCCAGCAAGTCCTACCTTCTGGGTGCTGCCCAGAGGGGTACAGCCCCGGGGTCTGGGGACTACCAGCTGTAGCATGTTCCATGGGGGCCGTGCCAGGCACCCCCACCCAGGCCTAGATAAAGAAGTTGCTCATTCCAGCATTTTTCTCCCGATGCCCATCTGGTGGGTGTCAACCACTAGACCCTCCCTGCCTGCTGGGGAGACCTCTGTCATCTAAGTCCTGGTCCCTCTGCAGTCTCAGCTCCTGCCACCAGCTGGGAGGAGGTGGCCACCTGTTGCCATGGCTCTAAGCTTACCTATCAGCACCTACATCAAGGCCTCACTAGACCAAGGTGTCTGGTTGCCTGCAGAGAGCGGGTGGCATGGCTCAGTGGGGTGGGTGGTGACAGTGGCAGCTGGAAACCAGAGCCACCTTGCCTGGCCACCTCTCCTGACCCACCCTCCTCCCACGGAGTCCCTTCTCTGGTAGAGGGAGTGGACCAAGGGGGGCTTGGGGCAGCTGGAGATCCAGAACCTCGCACAGCCCAGTAGCATGGCATCCCAGCCCCTCCCTGCATGCCTCTAAGGAGGGACACTGGCTCTGCTCAGAGCTGAGAACCCCTGGGGCTGCATTTGTCCCGCTGCTCTCTACTGCCCACCCTGTCTTCCACCTGAGACAGAGGCTACCCAGGGCGACCCTAAGCTAAGACCGAAAATTGGTGACCACACCTGGCTCTACTTTCCTTCAGTCTGGGACCTCCTGTGGCCCCAGAGCCTTGTAGGGGAGGGGACCTGACCACGGCAAGGCTCAGAAAAACTTGCTGAGGAAATATCTACCCTCTTCTATCCCCCTGGTCTAAATTCCTGTGCTTAATGGGCAGTCTACCTAGCCCATACCCAACCCCTACCTAGCCCAGAGGAGCCTGGCTTCCTGGGCCCACAGAGCTGGTACCACTGGGCGGGCCCAGGCGAAAGTCCCTGGGCCAGGGCTGGGAGATCAGGGACAGGAATCTCTAGGGCTGCCTGGGAAGTGGAGCCACCGTGACCTTCCTAAGTCACAGCCCCTTTCTGAGTCCTGGCTGCCTGATGTGGCAAATGATGGGGCAGTCCTTTCCTCCCACAGCTTCCGACAGGACTGAACGTGCCGTACAAGGAGAAGTCTGGTGATCCTCCAGAGCCCATTACAGACACATCACACACCATGTCGGGCACGCCACGACACAGTGACCTTGGGATTAGGAGGTCACCGATGTGAGTTTTGTTTTGTTGAGACACGGCCCTGCTCTGCTGCCCATTTTGGAGTGCTGATACAATCACAGCTCACTGCAGCCTCAACCTCCCAGGCGCAAGTGATCCTTCCACCTCAGCTTCTAAGTAGCTGGGACGACATATACACTCCACCTTGCTCACTCTTTTTTTTTTTTTTTTGTACAGATGGGGTCTCCCTGTTTCCCAGGTTGGTCTCGAACTCCTGGGCTCAAGTGATCTGCCCACCTCAGCCTCCCAAAATGCTGGGATTACAGGTGTGAGCCACTGGCCAACCAATGTGTTTTCTAACTGGCAGGGAAACCTGTCCCCAGGGTCAAAAGGTCCCATCATCTAAATCTCCCACAATGCCCCTTCGTACAGAGCCCAACTGCCTCTTCTTCACCTGCTGGAAGCCACCTTTTGGGAACACTGGCAGGTTCTCATGGCCCCGCCTCCCACCTGGACAGGGACACAGCTCCCTCTATGCACCCTTGGGCTGGGAGGACTGACTGAAAAAGGCCTGGTGCCCCAAGTTTACTTAAAATTTCCAGGGATAGCTCCAGGTGGCTTTATTTATTTTTGAGATAGTCTCTCTCTGCTGCCCAGGCTGCAGTGCAATGGCATGATCTGGGCTCACTGCAACCTCCACCTCCCAGGTTCAAGTGATTCTCTGACCTCAGCCTCCCAAATAGCTGGGATTATAGGCACCTGCCACCACATCCAGCTAATTTTTTTATTTTTAATAGACAGGAGTTTCACCATGTTGGCCAGGCGGGTCTCAAACTCCTGACCTCAAGTGATCCACCGACAGCCTCCCTAAGTGCTGGGATTACAGGCATGAGCCACCACACCCAGCCTCTGGGTGGCTTTAAAACAAAGTGCAGCTTCCTCAGGATGGCAGGGAAGCACCATCACACCCTTCCAGCTGGGCCTCCCCTTGTTGAGGGGCCTGTGTTTATACTACTGCATAGTCCTTGTCCATCCCAACACAGGAGCGCTCCGGGCCCTTCACACGTGCCGTGTCCTTGGCCTGAAATACTAGGCTTCCTCCTCTTCTGATGAGCAGGCAAGCCCCTACTCAGGCCTTAAGATTAGGCTTAATGGCCACCTCTGACGTCCCTTCACAGTCCATGCCACTCACCGCACCACCAGATGCCCCTGTCCTGGCCTCCCATGGCCCCTCGCTGAGTCCTCTGTGGCATCTGTGACTATCTTGGGGCCATTTACTTATCCTTCACAGGCTAAACTGACTAGATGTAAGTCACAGTCAGGGACACACTGTTTACCCACCAGGACCCAGCACAGATGGGGATGCAAGGGGTGTTTGCAGAAATTTCTTTTCTTCTTCTAAAGTAACAGGCACTGTTGTAGGCCAAGAAATTAGCCGTGACTGAGAGCTGTGGCCCCTGCCCTGGTGGACTGTAGGAGAGAGACAGACAGTCCATACGGGACCAAATATAATCTGATGCCCAGCAGGCACTGGGGAAGGAGGCTCCAGGAGCAAAGCTGCACCCAGGCAAAGGCAAAAGGGGTGGAAGAGGATCCTGGGCCACTTGCTGTGTATGGATCCCTGACTCAGGGCATGGGGGCCAGGGGAGGAAGGTACAGAAGGAGCAGGGCAGCCAGGGTGAACTCAATGAACACTATTTTTTTTTTTTTTTTTTTTTTTGAGATGGAGTCTCACCCTGTTGCCCAGGCTGGAATGCAATGGCACAATCTTGGCTCACTGCAAACTCCACCTCCGAAGTTCTAGCAATTCTGCCTCAGCCTACTGAGTAGCTGGGACTACAGGCGGGCGTCACCACACCTAGCTAATTTTTTGTATCTTTAGTAGAGACAGGGGTTTCACCATGTTGGCCAGGAACTCGTGACCTCGCAATCCACCGGCCTTAGCCTCCCAGAGTGCTGGGATTACAGACATGAGCCACCACACCTGGGGCCTCAATGGTGATCATAGCCTCCTCTCTGCTCTAAAACCTTTCATGTCTCCCTGTTGCCCCTGAGCAAGCCCTAGCAGTGAGGCCCTCCTCCCCAGATCCCTTCCCGCTGCTCTTACTAATTCTCAAACACAACCACTAGCATCGGTCCATCTCTGCCTATAATCACAAGAGGACACCTCCCTCGGGAAGGCCTCCTGCCACCAGCAGGGATGTGCTGTCCCTCCTTCAAGCACGCTTACTCTTGCTCTGCACGTGCTGCCCCCAGGACAGGCAACTGTGTACATTTCTTATCTCTCCAAAGAAAGCAAGCTGGAATAGACCTGGATACAAACTCTGGCTCAGCCTGGGACTCTCTGAGCCACCTGAGGCATGACACTTCACCTCGTCACACCTTGGTTTCCTCATTTGATGAAGACGTTACTACCAACCTTCAAGAATCAGATCTGGTAACGTGAAGGCAGCCGGCAGAGGGCCAGGCAGGCACCCGGTGGGCAAGGCAGCCAACTGTCCTCCTCCCCCCACATCCCTTCTGCTCCTGACAGGGAAGGGGAGGCTGCTGACGACAGGAAGGGCCAGCAGGGAGGTGGCAGGATGTCCAGGAGGAGACCGAGGAAGTCCAGCCAAGGCGTTCTGGCCATCACACTCACAGAGCATGCCACGCCTCCCAGCAGCCCAGCCCACTCATCCGCAGGGTCTCCACTTCCTTGAAAGACGACTGCTGGCGCCTGTGCACATACACACGCTGTTCATCGTCCCCTAGAAAGGCCACTGGGCTGTCAGAGCCTCCCTGAAGCACTAGCCAGAAATCAAAAGCAGCCCCACCCCTCCCTTCCCGAACATCATGGTCAGTGGGCCAGAGCATCAGGAAAAGAGGTACTCCTTCCCTTATACCTAGGATGACCACGGGCAACTCACCAACGCCCCGCCCCCTGCCTCAGTTTACCCGGCTGTGAAGTGGGGAGTCCAGGGAACCCAGCTGTGAGGCTCAATATGCTAACCACGGCGCAGGTAATTGACGGGGCTTGGTATAGCTCACCTCTAAGAGAAAGGCAAACCCCTACCATCGCGCCCCTACCCCGACTCGCAGGCTTGCCCAAGGCCCCAACGCTTCAGACGTCCCGGGACTGGCTCCCGGGCTGTGGGTGGGGCGGTCCGCCCCTTCTCGCCCACCTAACCTCGGGCCACCGGCCACACCGGGAGCCGGCCTGCCCAGGCCGGAGTCGACGCGACCCATC